AATGTCTATGCTGAGGCATAATGTGAACTAAATTTATTTTAAGTTTCTCAGAGTCCCCAATTTCATTCTGGATTAAGTGCACTTGTGAAAGGAATATAAAAATCCAAAATTATAAAATATCTCACCTACTGAGAAGGTGTAAGAACCCATATGAAGCCTCTCAGGCACACAAGAGAGCAAGTTCAGTGTCTCCTGAGAGTGTAGTCATTTTAGCTCTAGTTATTCACCGTAATATGTATTTTCTCAATACAGTTTGAAAAGTTTAAAAATTTTCAGTCAAGATATAGAGAGATGTCTGGAAAAGATTAAATATCTAAGGTTGGGTGAAGTGGCCCATGCCTATACTCCCAGTACTTTGGGAGGCTGAGGTAGAGGACAGAGCCCACAGGTGTGAGATTGGCCCGGGCACTTGGTGAGACTGCTTTTCTACAATAAATCAAAAAAATTAGCCAGGATCCATCTGACAACTAGAATTATGCAATAAGATAATTTGTAACACAGAAATATTCACTAATACATTAGGTCTGAGAAAAAAGAATGAAATGAAATCCACTCAGCCAGTGTACACAGTATTTTTGTGAACGATACAGCATAAATTTGGGCATCAACACAGGCCTGTTCAATTGTGAATGCTATATTTACATCACACAGAAAAATTTGCATATACTACTCAGAGGGAAAATTCACAGTAGGTTGGAAGGTCCTCATCGTTTTAATGTGTACAAAATGAACTGAATACCTTCTTAAAATGCAAATTCTGATTCAGAAGATTTGGAATTTGCCTGAGCTTCAGCACCTATTTTTTTTCATTCGGAAGGATCTCATTCTTACCCATGCTGGGTTGTAGTGGGATATTCACAGCTCACTGCAACCTCGATCTCCTGGCCCGAAGGTTGCTGGACAAATTGGTATCAGGTGCCAATGCACACAGGTGCCAACACAATATCCATGCTGAGATATATATGCCCCTAAAATAGTAAATTTTAATGTCAATCTAATAATAAATATGTCTTAGGCAGAAATCCATGTACAAGTATCTCTCATGGTGTGTAATCTCAAAATCTGTACTTATATTGTTTGTTTTTAGCATCTGGAAGAGCAGTTCTTTTCTAATAATTCTTTTTTTTTTTTTGAGTTGGAGTCTAACTCTGTCACCCAGACTGGAGTGCAGTGACCGCTCCTGGCCACTGCAGACTCGATCTGCTGGGCTCCAGCGATACTTCCACCTCATCTTTCCAAGTAGCTGGAACTACAGGTGCATGCTACCACACCTGGCTAATTTTTTGATTTATTGTAGAGATGAGGTCTTGCCAAGTTGCCCAGGCCTGTCTCGAATCCATGGGCTCAGGCAATCCGCTCACCTCAGCCTCCCAAAGCCCTGGGATTACAGGCTGAGACACTGAGCCCAGCATCATGTGAAATCTTAACCATTCACAGTCCCATCCTTTGCTTGTTTCTGAGGATCCACCCCATTTCCAATGGGAAGCTTGGATATCCACAACATTGCCATGTTCCCCAAGCACAAGGAAACATTTTTAATACTGCAGGTCATACATTCATGGTGAGAGCAGTTCATCGCAACTAGGCAGCATGGATGCTGAGAACAGTGGAGCCTCTGGTATGTAGGGAGACACGTCCTTCAAAGCCCTTGAATATCAGGAAGAACAAAAAAAATTGAAAAAATGCTCATTAGGCAAGACCATCACAAGTAGCAGTGCAGTTTACAAGTTTTAAAATTGGCAGTCCTCCTGACCTGTGTCACATTTATCTGAGAACCAGGTATTTTTTTCCTTTTCCTCCAGCTTCTCTGAATTTTTTTTTTTTTTTTTTTTGAGTCAGAGGACTCACTCCTTTGCTCAGGTTGGAGTGCAGTCACATGCTCACAGCCACCCCAACAATGACCTACTGGGCTCAGGCAATCCTGCCTCAGCCTTTCAAGTAACCATAACTACAGACTAAGCTACACTTTGTCAATTTTTAATGTATTGTAGAGAAGAGGTCTTATCAAGTTGACTGGGCTGGTTCAAACCTGTGGGCACAGGCAGTCCTCTCTCCGTTGCCTCCCAAAATGCTCAGAATACAGCCTGGACCATGTAGCCTGGCCCTCTGGGATTTCATTTCAGGTGAGATGATCTAGACAAGTCACACCATGTTGAAAATATGCCTTTATTTATTTTAAAATTAAATTGAACATATTTATTTTTTGTTAGAGTCTCACTGTCACCCAGGCAGGAGTGAAGTGGCATCCTCATTACCACAGCCTTGAACTCATGGGCTCAGGAAATCCTTCTATCTCAACCTCCAAAGTAGCTGGAACTACAGGGCTTTGCTAATATTCCTGGCCAATTTGTCTTTAATTATTTTTTATAGTGACATGAATATGCTATGATGTAGTGGTTGGACTCAAACTCCTGACCTCAAGCAATACTCTCACCTCAGCCTCCCTAAGTGATAGGATTCCTGGCATAAGCTATGATGTGCAGCCAGCATATTCCTTTCACATAAGTATAATCATTTCCTTGCTACCACCACAACCAAAAGCAGGAGGGTCCAGATAGTGCGATAAAGTCTACTTTTTTGCTGTTTTGTTGTCACAGGAGACAGATTCAAAAACAGTGAGGTCCTGCAAGGAATGCAAACTGTGAGTTACTTCTTTCCTTTCCACAAGTGCCCTCCCTTGCCAGAAACACTGGCAATTTCTTCTACAGCGATAAATATATGACCCCACTAGCTTACCTGCCTGACCTAACACAAGCAGATCAGGACAGGTGACCTCCCTTTTGAATTCAACTTTAATGAACATATCTGGCAACTCAACTTGACAATGTCACCATGTTAGAATCACATGGGGTATAGCTGGGCACAATGGCTCACACCTGTAATTCCAGTAGTTTGGGAGATGAGATGAGCGAATTACCTGAGCCCCAGGGTTCCAGATGAGCTTGGCCAACTTGGAAAGAACTCATTTCAGCAGTAAATCAAGCAATTAACTGAGCATGGTGGCACATGCCTGAAGTTTGACATGGAAGTATTGCCTGTGGCCAACAGGTCAAGGCTGCAGTGGCTGAGAGTGTCCCACTGCACTCCATCCTCGCAAAACAGACAAAGAAAACCTATATGCCTATTTTTAACAATGACAACCCAGCAGAAATGATAATGAAAGAGTTACAATTCTGTCTGTGAATGCTCTCTTAAGCAGTAACATGAGAACTCAACAAAAAGTCAGGTACCATGGGCAACTCCCTTCTTTGTACTGACTACATGGTGCTGATTCAAGCATTTACCCTTTTACAACAGTTGGAAGTTTCTGGGGTGTAGGGATATTGACCACTTGATCTGTTTTTTTCTAGTGGCTTTGTAATATGGTGGTAAACCTGTTTTTCCAGACCTACTACTCATTATTTACTCAAGTAAAAGGAAACTGGAACCAATCCATATGGCTAAATTCACACGTCCATAGAGAGTTATATTCTTATTACTAAACTCAGCATTAAAAAGTAATTTACTGGAAGTGTTATTGGTTAGGCTCGGGAGGTCATGGTGAGTGGATCATCTGAGCCCCCATGTTCAGGACCAATTCAGGCACCTTGGCGAGACCTCCTCTTTACAATAAATGAAAAAAAATTAGCTGGGTGTCATAGCGTCTGCCTGTAGTTCTAGCTACTTGGAAGACTGAGGTGGAAGGATCACTGGAACCCAGCAGGTTGTTTATGGTTTGGCCATGTGTGTGAAAACAAATGTAATGGATACTGTCATGCACCTGTGAAACTCAACAATTAATCTATCACACTTTCTGGTGGAAATGTATTGATCTACAGAGCTATAAAGAGAGAAATATTTTCCTCAACATTGTGATGTAACCTTGGGGTAGAGAAAGGAGGGAGGGGGAATAGTATCCCAGACCCTCTTTCCTTTGGCCCTGCCAGCCAGTCGGATCCTCCCCACTACTCTTTTGGGTCCCAAACACTTGGAAAGAGGGTCTGTTCACAGAGAGGGCTTAGCTTGAGGTTGTGGATGGGACAAATCCCCCGCGTCCCGGCCTAGCCTCACCTACACCGAGCACACCAGGCACAGCTGCTGGTGGGGACGTGTTCACTGTCAGCTGAGGGGAGACTGGTCCTGGCACAGCCGGGTCATCCAAATCCATCCACTTCCCCTCTCGTGACACCCCAGGCATACTCACCTTCTCCCAGCTTCCAGATGTCCCAGCAGCCTCACCAAGGGCTTCCACGTCCTGCAGATCACAGGGTGACAGAGGTCAAAGCGAAGACACACTTGGGTGCCAAGGCACTACAGGACACTGCAGAAAGGACGACCCAACTCTGCGCAGGCACAGGAGACAAAGGCCCAAAAACCGCCCTCACTTCCAGCTCCTGTCTGATTGACCAGTTCAGGCCTCAGCATCCATTGATTGGAAAAGCCTTTGCCCTTCTGGTCTTGACTGACAGGAAGTGCAAAACAATAAGGACTCCATAGGCAAAATGCCTTTAGATTTCTCCTTGCCCCAGAGTCTGGGCAGATGGGTGGTGGGAGGGGGCTTGTGGCCCCCTTTGGGCCATAATGAGATTTTTTTAACTCCTGGTTGGTGGGTCGCTGGACTGTAGGTTGACACTGCCTTTCCCAGGACATGCTGGAATTGTAGTCCTGCAGCTCCGCCATCCACCAACTGGGAGCCATGCAGACGCCAGTGTTCACCGCAATTCCTGTAAGGGGCTGCCCTCACAAGTTCCTACCACATTCCAGATCTGGGAGAAATCTCAACATTTTCTTGCCTCATGCAGCCCGCGTCTGATCACATATCCTGTCACTCAAGACTAGATGGCCTGGAGTTTTATCCAATCAACTGATGCTGGGCTTTGAAATGGCCAATCAGACAGGAGCTGGAAGTGAGAGGGCAACTTCCGGGCTCTTACAGGGCCTTAGTTTCTTCCATCAGCCTCTCGTATCTTCATTGTAGCCTGTGTTTCCTTGTGACATGCAGGTCCTTGGAGATTCGTAGGATGGAGACTGAGACCGTCGGAAGGCGGGAGGTGGTGAGTGTGCAGGGAGGTTTCCCGAGAGGGGAAGTGGGGATGGACCCGGATGACCCGGCTCTTTAGGGACTGGCCTCTCCGTCAGCTCAGTGCCTGGACCCATCCCCACTGGCGACTCGGCCGGGTCCCCTCAGTGTAGGTGGGCCTGGGCTGTGACCCTGTGGTCTTGCCCCTGCAGCGACATCGCCTGCTAAGCACTGTCCGTGCAGCTCACCATCTCCAAGTGTGCCAAACCTGTGAGGGCTTTGGAGAGGATCCGACTTGCATGGGGAGCTGGTGGGAGAAAGGGAGGCTATGATCCTGGCCCACTCCCTCTCTCCTCCCCAGAGTTAAACGGTGGCTACATCACAACGTTAAGGAGACCTCTTGGCCAACAGTGGTTCTTGAGTCCAGAAACTCCAGCTAGGACTCGTGGTGTGGGGATCCCGGAGGACCTGGGAGGAAAGGCTATGGGAAGGGGCAAGGGGAAGATGGGATGGGCAAAGGCTGTTGGGTGACAGTCCTGCAGTGGCCTTATCTGAATTATCTAGGTGGAAATCTCCAGGGTCTGTCATTAGTGTCATTAGGCATTTGTGTCACCAGGTCCAAATTCGGTTCTGTCGACATAAGGAGTTGGAGCAGGGGTTGTGAGTTTATTTAGTACGGACACTAAAACTAATGAAATGAGGGGACGGCATCCTAAAGAATCTTCCTGGGTCGTGTGTGCGTTTTCAAAATTTTTATCCAGCCTGTGGAACAGAGAGCGGATAACATCAAGAGGTGACTTAGACTTGCAGACATCTGGGTAATGAGAGAAGTCCTGGAAAGTGGTGAATTATCTTTGTCCTTGATTCACAATCTCCTTTTTCCTTTACTAAACAAAGCAGAGTTAGTGTACAAACTCCCACTTTTCGCAGAGTTACTCTGGACAGCTGCATACTGGTGCCAACCCTTGTCAGCATTTCAAAATTATTTTTAGCTACATTCAAACACACAGAGAGGCCAGAGATCCCCAACACCCACCCCAGTCTAAAATGGAGTTATGTCGAACATTTGAGAGTTGACTGTCCCATTTTAGATTGATTAGGTCTAAGGTTTTATATTATTAAATTAGTAACTTAAAAAATTTATTACGGCGAATGGTTTCTGTGCACTTGTAGACACATCACTGTTCCTGAGGGGCAAAGGCAGAATTGATGGATTATCTTGCATTTGTAAAGAAGAAAAACTGTCCTAAATGACAAAGTAGACCCACCTCAGGGAGATGTGGAAGAATCAAATCAAAGACAACCTCAGGCAAACAGGAGAGCAAGCGAGGGGATCCCAAGAGTGTGGTAATAGTGACAAAAAATAAATACTTTCTATTTAATTTTGAAATATGTAAAGGCATATTTTCAAAATGTAGGTGTAACTTGATTACATAATCTCACCTGAGAAGAAATACCAGAGAAGTAGGAGGAAAAAGAAAAAATGACTGCTTCTCAGGTAAAGAAATTTGTCCCAGATCACAAGGAATGTCATGTGTGTAAATCTTGCAAACCATGCTGCTGTCCTTGTGATGATCCTGCCTAATGAGTTGGTTTCAACTATTTTTGTTCTTCCTGTGATATTCAATGGGTCTGTTGGATACTGCTCCTACATAGCTTCTTCTGTTCTCTTTAACCATACTGCTTAGTTGTCATAAACTGTTCTCACCATGAATGTATGACCTGCATTTTTTATTTATTTTATTTTATTTTATTTATTTATTTTTTTGAGTTGGAGTCTCACTGTGTCACCCAGACTGGAGTGCAGTGGCCGCTCCCGGCTACCGCAGCCTCGACCTGCTGGGCTCCGGCGATCCTTCCACCTCAGCCTTCCGAGTAGCCGGAATTACAGGCGTGTGCTACCACGCTCGGCTGATTTTTTGATTTATTGTAGAGATAAGGTCTCGCTGCCCAGGCAGGTCTCGAACCCGCGGGCTCAGGCAATCCACTCACCTCAGCCTCCCAAAGGCGCGGGATTACAGGCTGAGCCACCGAGCCCGGCTTGACCTGCATTTTTAAAAATATTCCCTTGTTACTGGGGGATATGGGAAGGCATGGTAACCAAGAATCCCATTGGAAATTGGGTAGATCCTCAGATCCTAACAAAGGATAGAAACATGTGTATGTAGTCTTCCTCTGTTTTCCAGCATGACATGCAGTGGCACACTCATGGCCACCAGAGTCCAGTTAATATTTTAATTTATTATAGAGATGAGGTCTTGCCAAGTTGTCCAGGCTTGTCTCACACCCAAGGGTTCAGGAAGTTCTTTTTCCATAGCCTCCCAATATGCTGGGATTATAGGCATGAGCCTCTGCTACTATCCAGAACATGTATTTGTTAAGTTTCTGTGTAGATGCTCCATCAGCTCCATGCAGAACACGGTTAATAAAATGTACATTTTAACAGGATGGCAGTTACTGCTCAAAATAACTCCGGAACATCTGAATAAAGAATAATTAGAAAAGACTTGCTCCCTAGGATGCCAAAAAATAAAAATATAAATACACTTTCAGATATTACATGCCATGGGAGTTACCTGTAGGCTGATTTCTGTGTAATACGAACTTACTTGTTATTAAGTTGAGATTACAAATTAGTATATAGAATGGGTGTGGTGACTCAGCCTGTAACCCAGCACTTTGGGAGGCTTAGGCAACACACTTGCCTGAGCCTGTGTTTTGATAATAGTTTGGGCATTTGGTGAGACCTTGTCTCTACAGTAAATTACAAAAACTACCCAGGCACGATTGCATGTCTGTGTAGTTCTAGATATTTGGAAGGCTGAGGCAGAAGGATTGCTTAAGTCCAGCAGATCGAGGCTGCAGTGTCCATGAGCATACCACTGCACTCCTGCCTGGGCAAGAAGAGTGAGATGACAACTCAAAAAGTAATAATAAATTACTATAACTTTTGGCTAACGATCTCAGCATGGATGTTATGTTCCACCTGTGTGCCTTGACATCTGATATCAATTTGTCCCAAATACTTGGGATGCTATGGAGGATGAATTCTTTTAGCCAAGACGATTGAGACTGCAATAAGGTATGATTATGCCAGGGCACTCTAGCCTGGTTCAGAATGAAACACAACAAGCTGGGCATAGTTGTGCACGCCCGTAGTTCCAGCTACTTGGAAGGCTGAGGCGCAAGGATCGCCAGAGCCCAGCAGGTCGAGGCTGCGGTAGCCGGAAGTGGCCACTGCACTCCAGTCTGGGTGACAGAGTGAGACTCCAACTCAAAAAAAAAAAAAAAAGAATGAGACACGCCAACTGAACAAAAAAGTGCAAAACCTCAGACTAAATCCATGTGTTCTGAATCAATTTGCATTTTAACAAGATAATCAATTCATTCTTGTACAAATTAAAACTTGAGGAGAATCTTCTTACTTACTAGGAGCAGTATATGTAATGTATTCTGTGTGATATCAACAGTAATTTTAAATGTATGTGCCTGTGTTATTGTACATTTTATGCTGTTTCACTCACAAAATAGAGAGCCTACACTGGCTGAGTGGACTTTATTTCATCCTCTATTACCACACTTAATGCATTAGAGATATTTTTGTGTTATCATTTTTAATTGCATAATAATAGTTGTCTTGTTAACCGGACCTTGTTTTCACTCTTGCTTTACCTAGAGGCCATGGTGACTTGGCAAATATATGTTTTTGTTGTTTTCAGGGGTTGTTGTCATTCAAGGATGTGGCCATAGAATTCTCTCCAGAGGAGTGGGCATGCCTAAACTCCCCTCAGCGAATATTGTACAGGACTGTGATGTTAGAGAACCATAGAAACCTGGTTTTTCTAGGTGAGGAAACTTTCAAAACACAATCCCTATTTCATACTAACAATTTTATGTGCTTCCTTGATAGAATGTTTTCTGGGAATTGTTTCTTTGCATAAATGAGTTTCAGATTCCTACTATCAATAAAAAGTTGGTAATATGTTAACATAGAAAATAAAAAATTAATGATGTTTCATTTTGACATGAAGCCTTCTCTATTTTAAATTGACCAGTGTCCCTCTAGCTATATTATTGGTAAGTTCAGAAATTTAGTGGCATCGATATCATTGCCCACATCTCATATCCATTGCTACCATAAGTTATTGACTCAGCCGTACTGAACTAAGAACACACAAATTTAAGGTCAGTCATGGTGGCTCAGCCATGTAATGCCAGCACATTTGGAGGCTGAGCCCATAGGTTCAAGAATAGCCTGGGCAACTTGGCAAGAACCTATCTCTACAAAAAATATCCTGGGAGTGGTAATGCACACCTGTAGTTCTGGTTACCTGATAGGCTGAGTGAGAATTACCTGAACCGAACAGGTGAGCACTGGGTTGGCTATGAGCTTTCCACCTGTACTCCACCCTGGGTGACAGAGTGAGACTCCAACCTAGAATAAAAAGAATCCCATAAATTGAAATTTTTATCTAAACATACTAAAGGTCTTATTTGGAAACCGTATTTTGGGGTTAATTATCTGGAATCTTGTATGATGTGTCCTCTACTGATCAAATATTAGGTTTGTAATCTAAGAACTCCAGCAAGAGTCATGTTACTTTTTTCTAATTTAAACAGGACTTACTGTCTCTAAGCCAGACCTTATTACATGTCTGGAGCAAAGGCAAGATCCCTGGAATGTGAAGAGACATGGCACATTAGCCAAACTTCCAGGTAAGAGGGAGTGAATGAAGCAGATGACACAGGTTCAAGAATCAGAGCTTGAAATGTGGTTTGGGAAGGTGGTCTGCTCCAATGGAAATGGTTTTTTAGATGCCTGGGATTTTTTCTCTTCCGGTCACGTAGGGACATATGTTATTACATGTTCTGAAATTCTCCAAAAACTGCTTCATCAATGATCTTTCAAGCTTACAGAGGAAATCAAAATCCACTTAATGGTTTGTTAGGAACTGCATGATCTGACAACCTTTCTGATGCTTTGGAAACGTGCAAGTATTTGCTTATTTATTTGGCAATCCATTTCAAACTATTTTTTATGTTTTCTTTTGGCATCATGGTTGGAAGTATGTGAGCAGTGATTTTGTTATCTGTTTGAGAAATTTTAAGAACACTCCGGACACATGTTGCATGTTTTCTAATTTATGATTTTCTCTACTAGGGAAATTTCCAATGATTTTATTTAAATTCATACTCAATAGTCTACCTAAACACAAATTATCTCTCTTAATAGAAGAAATCCTGATATTTTACTTATATTTTACTTTCGTACTATAATCTGAGACTGGTGGTTTTTCTTTATATTCAAATATTTAAGTGTATTATATCATGTAGAAGGTTGGTAATATATATTAAATTCCTACCTGTTTCCTTGTGTCTTAATAACTCTTATTTTCTAATTTTCTTTAGTATGACGCTTAGGACTTGCTTCATATATTCATATATTGAAACACATGTGTGCATGTTTATGTATGATTAGCATCTGATTTTTTTATACATAAATAAAAATGTATAACCATAGTTTGTAAATAATGTAATAATTTAATATGCCTATATAGTGTGAAATGATTACAATTATATTAATGAACATATCAACCGTCTTACGTAGTTGCCATTTTTATGTTTTGTACGGAGATATGATGTCTTCTATTTTAGCAAATTTTCTAACCATATGAGATGTCATTACTAATGATAAGTCACTATGGTACACAATAGTTCCCTAAGATTCAGTTATAACTCAGATTTTGTAACCATTGGAAAACATTTCCATTTTCCACCTGTAGGCCCTGGTGACCACGTTGTACTTTCTTCCTCTATGAGTGCAAAGATTTTTGATTCCACAGGAGTGAGATCATGCAGGATTTTTTTTCCTCGAGTTGGAGTTTTACTCCAGGCTGGAATGCAGTGGCATGCTAAAGACCACCACCGCCTCATTGCTGGGCTCAGGTGATCCTTCCATATCAGCCTTTCAAGTAACTGGAACTACAAGCGTGCGCTGCCAAGCTAAGCTTATTTTTGTATTTGTCTCACCTTGTACTCGGACTGGTCTGAACCCGTGAGCTCATGCAATTCTCTCACCTCAATTTCCCAATGTGATGGGTTTACAGACTTGAGTCACTGTAACCGTTCTCATGCAGTATTTGTGTGTGTGTGTGCCTGGCTCACTTCAGTTAGCATAATGTCTTACAATGTCATCCATAAGGTTAAATTGCAGAATTCTTTAAAAAATATTTTAGCTGAAACATATTCTATTGTGCATATATACGTGTGTGTGTTTGTGTGTGTGTGTACATTATTTTCTTAATCAACATAGATTCCACAAATATTTAGGTTGTTTTCAAGCTTGGCCATCTTGACAAATGTTGCAATGCCCATAGGGATTGGAAACTTCTTTTCGGTACTGGTTTTATTTCCTTTAGTTGTGTACCCAGGAAGGGATCTCTGTGTTATGTGGCAGTTTGTTTTTATTTTTAAAAGAATGTTGATAATGACTTTTATATGACTCTACCAATTTTAAGCTCATCAAAAGTAAACAGGATTTCTTTTTCTTCATATCCTTATCAAAAGTTTTCTCTCTCTTCTGATTGATATTAGCCATTCTAACAGGTGTGACACAATATATCATCATTGTGTTTATTTGAAATTGCCTCTACTAGTGATGTTCAGTGACCATTCATATACCTGTTGCCAATTTGTGTGTCCTCATTGGAAAATAGCTATTCATTTTTGGGCTGATTTTTATTCAGGTGGTTATCATTTTCTTTCTTTAGCATCTCATCTAGTATATGCTTTGTGGAATTTTTTCTTGTCCTGTAAGGCTTCTTCCATTTCCTTTTACTCTGCAGAAGCTTTTCAGTTTGATATCTTCATCTTGTTTGTATTTATTTTTATACCTGTAGTCATAAAAAAAGTTATTACTGAGACCAATATAAATTTCAAGGATGTTTTACAAATCCTTTTTATGGTTACATTTTATCAGCATGTTCTCTGTCATCCAGGCAGTTGTGTCGTGGCTCAAGTAAGGCTTTCTACATTTCATATGAAAATTTCTCAAACATTTTTGTAATTTGCAGCTCCACAAATTATTGTTGTACCCTTAATTGAGTCATTTATCCTGATTCTTTCCATGCTTTGACATACTTTGTTTGAATTGGAGTATTTGAAATTCAAAGATATACACATCATAATGTATATGATGTTGCTTTGTCTAGATTAATATAACACCAATCACTAAGTTAGAGATTCTAGGAGACTTATACCTGTTCTTAGGATGTGTATTCTCTGTATGTTGGGACAGAAACCAGTCTTTTCATAAACCCTCAAAGGACAGAAATGTGGACTCATACTCCACTCTTCTGTTTATTCCCTGAGGAGGAATTCAAGAGTTAGAACATCCTATCTGATTGCATCATGCTGCATTGTAAAGGAAGAGAAATTATAATGGCAAAATTACTAAACTTTCTCTTCCATGTAACTCATTTTATCATGTGGATTCTGCAAAGTATTAGCTGTTTTTTGAGCTTTCACACAGGCAATGGGGTAAGTATTTTCTTAAGTCATATATTTATGATGGAGTGGAAACCTGTGATTTGTACTTGCCATCATACTTATGTCCTTAACATGGTATAATATTATGTTTTATTTTCAAAAGATATTCAACTGAGTCTAGCATGTGGAATAAATTTTTATTTTCCTGATTTTCAGCTGTGACTTCTCATTACACTGAAGGCCTTTTGCCAGAGAAGAGCATAGAAGACACCCTTGCAAAGGTGTCAAAGGGAAAATATGGTAAATATGTCCTTAAGAACTTATACTTAACAAAAATGTCGGGTAAGTGTGCATGAGGGTGAAGGGCAGATAGAATGCTCATGTGCAAATAACCAATACAAATTTACCAAGAGTAGGAAAGTCTTTCATTAACACTCCAAATTTGTGTTCCACCAGAGTATCCATATTTCTGAAATGGCTTTCAAACACGAATATGACAAAACCTTTAACCAGTTCTCAAAATGTAGTCAACATCAAAAAAAGTAGAGAAAGTATACACAATATATGTGGGAAAGTCTTTAAGAAATAATCCTATCTAAATACATTTGAAGGAATCCATAGGAGAGAGAGAACCTTCAGAAATAAATAATGTGGCAAAACCCTTAGCTATTACTCATGTTAGTGATGGGCTCCGCGGCTCACCCTATAATCCCAGTGCTTTGGGAGGCTGAGGTGAGTGGTTTTCCTGAGCCCGCAGGTTTGAGACCTGCCTGGGGAAATTGGTGAGACCTCATCTCTACAATAAATCAAAAAATTAGCTGGATATCATAGCACATGCCTGTACTTCTAGCTACTTGGAAGGCTGAGGTAGAAGGATCGCCGGAGCCCAGCAGATAAAGGCTGCGGTGACCAAGAGTGGCCACTGCACAGCAGCCTGGGTTACGGAGTGAGACTCCAAATAAAAATAAATAAATAAATGTGCACAATGTGGCAAAGTCTTTCATTCTCGTTCACATCTTACTCAACATACTGGAGAGAAACCCTATAAATGTGAAGAATGTGGCAAAACCTTTCACACCTGATCACACCTTATTCAACATATGATGATCCATACTGGAGAGAAACCCTACAAATGTGCAGAATGTGGCAAAACCTTCAAATCTCGTTCACATGTTACTCGACATACAGTGATCCATACTGGAGAGAAACCCTACAAATGTGAAGAATGTGGCAAAGCCTTTCACTTTTGTTCACACCTTACTCAACATACAAAGATCCATACTGGAGAGAAACCCTACAGATGTGAAGAATGTGGCAAATCCTTTCACTCTCATTCATATCTTACTCAACATACAATAGTCCATACTGGAAAGAAACCCTACAAATGTGAAGAATGTGGCAAAGCCTTTCACTTTCGTTCACTCCTTACTCAACATAGGATGATCCTTACTGGAGAGAAATCCTACAAATGTGAAGAATGTGGTAAAGCGTTTCACATTTGTTCACGCCTTACTCAACATATGAAGATCCATACTGGAGAGAAACCCTACAAATGTGAAGAATGTGGCAAAGCCTTTCACTTTCCTTCACACCTTACTCAACATACAAAGATCCATACTGGAGAGAAACCCTACAGATGTGAAGAATGTGGCAAATCCTTTCACTCTCATTCATATCTGACTCAACATACAATAGTCCATACTGGAAAGAAACCCTACAAATGTGAAGAATGTGGCAAAGCCTTTCACATTCATTCAATCCTTACTCAACATAAGATGATCCATACTGGAGAGAAATCCTACAAATGTGAAGAATGTGGTAAAGCCTTTCACATTCGTTCACGCCTTACTCAACATATGAAGATCCATACTGGAGTGAAACCCTATAAATGTGAAGAATGTGGCAAAGCCTTTCACTTTTGTTCACACCTTACTCGGCATATGATGATCCATACTAGAGAGAAACCCTAGAAATGTGCAGAATGTGGCAAAGACTTTACTCAGAACTTGAGTCTTATTGTATATCAGCATATTCATAATGGAGAGAAACCCGACAAATGTGAGAAATGTGGCAAGGTCTTTCACTGTGGATTTTCTCA